TCGTAACGTGTTTGTACATACTGACAACATCCTAACGTTTCTTGCATACGGAACAACAAAATGACAACGACAATGCATAGCACATACACAATGGTCTTAAGGACACTCAAGGATTGTTGAATGTCTATGACATCAGCCTGCAATTGCATGACAATTTCATCTCTGGGTGACGCATAGTGTTGGTTCTCTCGCCTTGGTTCTTCGCACCAACCAATCCAACTGACACAGGGCTGATGAGTGCAAATGATGGAACTATTAGTCAATGGGTTGTTAATGTTCATATAGTTATGACCGGTAAAGAATGGGTGACTCACCACAGGGCGGGGACATGCAAAGTAGGGACGCCCTGGATTTTTGGCAGACCTAAAAATCTTAACAATACAGGGGCCATGTCCACAGGCACACATTCGTCGTGGCCATGTACTGGAAGTTGCAGTAGAGGTAAACGACGCCATGCTATGCTTTACAAACATTCAGAAGTGACGATGAATCATGTAAGTAATTAGTTTATGTTATCCATCTATTGGGTTAAATACTATCTGAATACGTTGATGCACATGTTTCATAGGATAGGTATACAAACTGTCAACTTCCTTCCGTTTATTTTAAAGAATTACAGTCCTACATTCTCATAGTTTCACTGTGAAGGTGGTAATAGGAAAGTAAATATGTATTTGGTCAATTTAGATTTCAATGAACATAAAAAAGGGCATGAACACTGTGTGTTTACATGACTGAGATGAAGAATTCATGGTCAAATTTTATTATTACTTTTTTCCTACTTTATTATTATTATTAAATTCTGTTGTTTTTTGAAATTTCAGAATAGTCTATTTATGTCAATAATTTTAAAGATTAAAGTTTGTATCCACATGACACAAATTATACATACTTAATCAGAAAAAAATACCGCATTAAAACTTAGACTACATCAACTGAAAAAGAGTTATGCACACACTGGTAATCCGGTAGGTATTTCAATGAAGACATATATGAATGAAGGAAGCAGAGGGTCTTATTCAAATTTATGAATAATCAAGTTAACAGTGTTTGAAGAAGTGAAGTTGAATCAGGACAACCCGAAAATGTGACCGTATAAGAATCAAAACTGCTGTAGACACTCCATTTTTGATCGTTCTCGAGACTTGGTTGTGCTTGCAGGTACACCCAACAACTAGTTTGATTGCTCGCTGAGTACTTGACTGTCGCGGTGGAACGTCACCAGTTCGAGCTTCCCGGACCCTGTATCCTTTCTGCCCTTTTTTTTTTTTTACCTTGACTAGGTCCTTTCAAAGTGACCTTCTTGGTGCACTGCCGGCCATGGCATGGCACTGCCGGCCATTTACTTGTGCCTACCGGCCACTGATGAAGCCCTGTCGGCCATCAGTGAGCCACTGCCGGCCATTATTGATGGCCGGCACCCCCCTGTCTCAGCTGGTTTTCCTCCAGATCTTTTGAGCCAGCTGATTTTTTGTTTTCTGCCCTCCATGCACGTGTATGGAGGGATGGAGCTCTTAAAAAGCTTCTTGAAGAAGCTTCTTCTTGCTCTCTTCTATATAAGCAAGAGGGCTCCCCCTATATCAGAGGTTTAGCATTTTTACAAGAGATACAGCTCCCTCTCTCTCTATTTCTTGCTCTCTCTCTATATTGTTGTAGTTTAGTCCATTTTCCTTGCACTTTTACACTACAACACCTAGAGGTAAACCACCACCATTGGACAAAGCTTCTTGGGGGGGCTTCTTGAGGTCTAAAAGTGAGTTTCTACCCCCTGAAGTTGCTGGTTTCAAAGAGGGTCTTCAAGGGTAAGTATTTTCCCCATTTTTGCACTTTCTTGCACCTTGCTTTAGCCCTCTTTGCATATTGATCTAGGTTTTGCTTATAACTGGAAAAAGTCTTGTATTTAAGTCCTTTTTAAGTTTGTTTAAGGTCATTTTGATGTTAGGGGTGTGTAGCCCTCTTGCATGCTTTGTTTGGCTTTGTTTTAAGCCATGCCTTAAGGCCTCCGAGCTAGCCTTGGTTTGGCCTTCCTACCACTGAAATCCAGTGGATTTTCAGTGGTAAAGATGTGGTTTTGAGGTCTTTAATCAGAGGGGGTATAGCTCTTTTTGAGCTATACTCTTTAATCAGGTCTTAGAAGTCACAAAAATAGCTCAAAACTAGATTCATGGGCTAAGCTAGTTTTGAGCTAAGCTAGTTTTGACAAAAAAAGATATATAGCTCAAAACCAAGGCTAGTTTTGAGCTATACTCTTTTCAGTGGTAAAGCTAGTTTTGGTGATGTAAGCTAGTTTTGAGCTATACCCCCAAATAGATATATAAACAGCTTGACAAAAAAAAGGTGGTGTTTGGGAAGCAAAACTGGGGCTAAAATAGCCACATCTGGACAAAATTGGCTTATTTAGCCACATGGAGACAAAACAGCTTTCACGGGTTGGTTTGAAACCCTTATTGGGGTAAATTTACCAAAATACCCTGAAGAGTTCCCTCTGATTCTGAGGGACAACGCCTCATCACACACATAACCTTCCCAAACGACACACAACAAGCGTAATAGGCGAAACTGTATACCAGCGGCGACCACGACATTTGAGCAGCTTCGCAGAGGCGATTGGCACCGGAGTACGCATCCGCGGTGGCAAAGAAGAACGAACCGTCTCAAACCGCACCGATCTGCAGGTAATGCTTTATGGCCATTCTGATTTAGGTTTCCCTTTTCGCGTCTGTGTGGCCCCTGCTTCCGATCTGCTTAGGGTTGGGTGCATTACGGGTTGGGTTCATGACCGATCTGTGTGTTGACCGTGGTGCTTGGGTTGATTACGGTTACATTTCACACATTTGGGACAGATATATATATATATATATCTGTTCTTCTTTATATATCTGTTCTTTTATTTTTTCTAAAAATCTGTTCGGTTTGGGTTGATTACGGTTACATTTCACACATTTGGGGCAGATATATATATAGTTTTGTTATATCTTTTCTTCTTTATATATCTGTTCTTATATTAAAAAAAAATCTGTTCGGTTTGGGTTGAGTACAGTTACATTTCACACATTTGGGGCTGATATATATCTGTTCTTATATATAAATCTGTTCGGTTTGAAGGCAGATATATGTATCTATTCTTATTTTTTCATGTAGATGAACCCATGGTAAAGATTCAAAAACAGATACATATGAAAAATAAAATGTGTAAACCTGTGCTGTTCAGAGATTAAAACAGTCTATTCTGCATTTCTTTTTTTTCTTTCTTATAATTCGCATTACAAATTATCAAGTTGAGATCATAATTTCAATACAAATTTGATCATGAAAACATAAATTCTGTGAATGAATATCAATTTCTATTACAAAATTCATTTTAGTAAACATTGGTTATTTGATTACTTATCACTGTCATGATAAACTTCATTTATGATCTGTGAATTACCTATTGAATTCTCATGAAATAGTCTGTCAATGAATAAGGAAAACACATGATCTGAATGGGTTCTGTGATTTTTGATTCAATGCTGGAGACGATTTCTCCATCTGTGAAATACCTATTGATTTGTCAATGCTGAAGAGAATGCCTCAATCTCTGTTCCAAAAAACAGTCCTCAGAGGCAGTCTTGATTCTTATACGGTCACATTTTCGGGTTGTCCTGATTCAACTTCACTTCTTCAAACACTGTTAACTTGATTATTCATAAATTTGAATAAGACCCTCTGCTTCCTTCATTCATATCTGTCTTCATTGAAATACCTTCCGGATTACCAGTGTGTGCATAACTCTTTTTCAGTTGATGTAGTCTAAGTTTTAATGCGGTATTTTTTTTTCAATTAAGTATGTCTAATTTGTGTCATGTGGATACAAACTTTAATCTTTAAAATTATTGACATAAATAGACTATTCTGAAATTTCAAAAAACAACAGAATTTAATAATAATAATAATATTAAGTAGGAAAAAAGTAATAATAAAATTTGATCATGAATTCTTCATCTCAGTCATGTAAACACACGGTGTTCATGCCCTTTTTTATGTTCATTGAAATCTAAATTGACCAAATTACATATTTACTTTCCTATTACCACCTTCACAGTAAAACCATGAGAATGTAGGACTGTAATTCTTTAAAATAAACAGAAAGAAGTTGACAGTTTGTATACCTATCCTATGAAACATGTGCATCAACGTATTCAGATAATATTTAACCTGATAGACGGATAACATAAACTAATTACTTACATGATTCATTGTCACTTCCGAATGTTTGTAAAGCATAGCATGGCTTCGTTTACCTCTACTGCAACTTCCAGTACATGGCCACGATGAATGTGTGCCTGTGGACATGGCCCCTGTATTGTTAAGATTTTCAGGTCTGCCAAAAACCCAGGGCGTCCCTACTTTGCATGTCCCCGCCCTGTGGTGAGTCACCCATTCTTTACTGGTCATAACTGTATGAACATTAACAATCCATTGACTAATAGTTCCATCATTTGCACTCATCAGCCCTGTGTCAGTTGGATTGGTTGGTGCGAAGAACCAAGGCGAGAGAACCAAGACTATGCGTCACCCAGAGACGAAATTGTCATGCAATTGCGGGCTGATGTCATAGACATTCAACAATCTTTGCGTGTCCTTAAGACCATTGTGTATGTGCTATGCATTGTCGTTGTCATTTTGTTGTTCCGTATGTAAGAAACGTTAGGATGTTGTCAGTATGTACAAACACGTTACGACGTTGTTAGTATTTCAAAAAGTATGTTCTAGTATTACTTTAAGTTGCCATTGCCTTTGTTAGTATGGAACGGTCGACGTATTAATGACTATCATAACTATTTCCACTACTTAGTTCCATGGAACCTGTGTGCGTATGTTATTACTGTGCAATGGTTATATGCTGGCTAATTTAGCATCCTATCTCTCTGTTTGTTGTTATTAATGTGTAATGGCTTATGCGTTTGTATATAACAACTGAATTTGTGATGGTAATCTTTTGTAACCATACATTAGTAATGGCTTCCATACGTACTTCTCCACGTACCCATTCCAAAAGCAAAGGCATTTTCACTGACAAGTCAAGCAGTCTTGAAGAGACACATAATCAGTTAAGCCACAAGGCCTCATGGGATAGTGACTCAATCCGAGTTTTCCTGCAGTTGATTACAAATGAGATTACTAAAGGAAATTGCCTATTCCTAGTCCTCAGCCAAGCAAGGTACAAGTCCTTGGCAAGGAAATTTGGGATAAAAACTAGAAAAAAACATGGACTGAAACAGTTGAAGAATAAGTACATGAGTTTGAAAAAAGAGTGGCAAGCGTGGAAAAAGTTGATGGATTCAAGCAAAGGAGTGTCAAGGATAGGGTTTAACTGTGACACCAGTATGTTTCAGGCACCTGAGGAGTGGTAGGACAAGATAGAATCGGTAAGTATATGTACAAACAAGTTTCATATTTGTCATTTACCAGTACATTTTTCCATTTTTAAGTTAATTTTTAATTACTTATATGAAATGTAACGTCTTTCTGTTTCATATATCTCTATTTCTGCAGATAAACAAGGTGTATGCCAAGTTCAGGAAAAAAAACTTTGGAACATCATGAGTTGATGGAGACGGTCTTCATGAGGGCATCAACTACTGGTAAGCACCATTGGATCCCGGGAGAGAAACTTCCTGAAGCTGTTGATGACTCATCTGATTCAGTGCATAGTTTGGGAGCCCAGCCATTTGCTGATCCGATACCCGCAGGAGTACAAGACGTGGATTCAGATTCTTCACTGGAGCATGTTCCGATTGTAAAGGGAAAAAGGAGAAAGACGCCATCAACAAGTGTTTCAAAGTCGAAGAAGGCAACAAGTTGAGCGTCAGTTATTGTGGAAAGCATGAACAATCTAACAGATGTGGTGCGTACGAAGAATCAGCAGGTTACGGTGAGGCACCTCACAGGCAACGAATTGCTGTACGCTATTTCGGAGTGCATGCATCACCTGTCGAGTATTCCATCCCTGACTAGTACGTCGTTATTCCAGTTCGCCTCGACACTTATGGATAACGCCGATTACCGGGAGGTGATGATGTGCTAGCCTAATGACGACCACATCATAGGGTGGCTTACACAGAAGCAGCTCCAGTGTACTGCGTCGGCACCTTTTGCAAACCTGTTTGGGGCTCACCGGATGTGATGTAGCGGTGTTACGAGTGTTGAAGATGCCTGTCCGTGTCTTGCTTTTGAAAACTTTGACTTATGTTATTGTTGGCACTGTATTAAAATAGGATGGTTGTGTGTGCTTGTTTTTATTCCTGCCTTTTTGTTTTTTTCTTGCTAGCTGTGGTCAACAAAACTTTTAGTTAAGTGCATGGGTTGACGGACTGGAAGCATGGTTGTGCATGGTTTTTGGGAAATGAATGGAATGCTTCTGTTTTAATTACATGTGTGGCTATTTTTTAGATAGGCAACGACGGTTTTCTTGCTATGTTTTGTATGTCTATATTTTGCAAATTTAACTGTTAGTTTAGTTTGACGTCAACTTTTGTGGTTGTTACCACCATGGTCCCTATGTAAAGCAGAAGTTGAACAGGTTTACAATTTGTTCAATTATATTAATGTGCGTTACTAATGACATTGGTGATGGCGTTACTTACATTAAATTTAATACGGCATTTTTTAATTGCAAACTTCAATATAATTTGACTCAATGAATCACGTGCAAACTAATTGAAAGAGTGCCACTCTTGTAGGTTTCACATCAATGAAGCCGTGATGAATCCCTGGAATGGAATCAACAATGATGATTTAAGGGAAATGCTTAATCAAATGGCGGTCTAGGTGCAACAAGAACACAATTGCACATTTCTACAAGTATGCCAGTATGCAACAGAATGGTACGATAAACAGATGGCTAAAATGCCATGTCGCACTTGAATACTGACCGGGAATGCATGGATATCCGAACTATATGCGGGCCATATGGGTCGATTTGAGGAAAAAGTTTGCATGCTGAATGAAGTTTTTGCCGCCTTGTGTGAGACATTAGTGAATGATTTTTGGTTACAAGTACCGCAACGTCCACATGGCTTAGCTGTTGAAGAAACTGTTGCAATGTTTATCCATGTGTGGAAAGGGAAACAAAATTGGGAAATCCAAGAACGGTTCCAACATTCGGGGGAGACTGTGTCTCGGCACGTGCATAACGTATTAACTTCCAAGAAAGAGTTCACTGTTGTTCATTGTCGGCCCACATACAGTCAGCATCGTATGCATCTATACATGCGGTCTAGACGAAAATATCTACCGTTCAAGGTACTACTGAAAACATTATTCACATATAAACAAGGAGTGTCAGTTATTTTGTTTTTATTACTAACTGGACGTGACGTATGGAAAAACCATTACTTGTGACCCATTTACGCAACAAAAGAATTGGGTTGTTTGCAGGACTGTATTGGAGCAATAGACGGAACACATGTAAGTACATGGGTTACGGGGCCAGATGCGGTAACATATTTCGGTAGGAAATACTGTCACACGCAAAATATCATGGCCGCGGTCGATTTTGACATGTGTTTCATATTCATTTCGTGCGGATGGGAAGGAAGTATGCATGATAGTCGCATCTTCAACGAGATACTAACAAATGACAATGTCTCATTTTCACATCCCGACGAAGGTAAAACATGGCCATGAATTCTGCATTTATGGGGCTATAAATTTTTCTGAAACAACGTTACTTGAAAATGAAGCACAATGTTTGTTTTTGGTGTCATACATTGTTGTCCTGTCCGCAGGCAAATATTATCTTGTTGATTCTGGCTATCCAATCCGGATTAGTTACTTAGCACCATTTAAAGGCAGCCGTTACCACCAACAAGAATTCTAACGTATTCCACGGAACACGACGGCAAACACGCCAAGGAAATTATTTAACAAAGTTCACTCGTCGTTACGCAGTGTGGTGGAACGCACTTTCGGTGCCTGGAAAAATCGATGTGAGTTTATTCGAGACATGCCTCGGTATGACTTTGCAAATGTGCAAGTTCAGTTAGTAGGTGCGTCAATGGCATTACATAATTATATACGACGAAACACAGGTAATCCAACAACTGTTCACCTAATCTAGGACGAGGAAGAGGCTATGACAATAGTAAATGCCATACCAAAAGTTGAACATGACGAGGATGGTTTAATGGTTGGGGATGAGGACCTGCATATGGCATTGGTGCGCCTTCACATACGCGACAAATTATGTTACATGCATAACAACGGAACGTTAGGAAATATATAATAGTCGACCTAATTTTCGTAGGGTTGTAACATTGGTAATACACATGGAACAGACTGTATTCAAGTTATAATATGTATGTACAAGTAGAATGTGTTTACACGGGAATATACCCCCGTTCTGTTGGTGACGTGCCTAACTTTGAAAAATCGAAAACCACAGAAAAAAGCCTTTTCGAAAAAGAAAACAAGCTGAAACAAATAAGAAAAAAAAAAAGTAATACAGAAATTGTCATGTGCGACGTCAATTAAAAACATAAAAACACAAGTTCAAAAGAACAAAAAAGCAAAACAGACCTCATTTTTTGTCATTAAACACACGGCAATATATGATTTTTCGCATCATTTTAAATAGATGACATAAAAAACCGTGTTCCCAAAAAAACCAAACAAATTAAAAACAAAGTAAAAAAATAAAAAAATATAAAAGTAAAAAACATGAATTACCAGTTGCCACATAATTTAAAAATAAGTAAAACACATGAAAAACTATTTTTGAAAACAAAAAACAAATTAATGTATACAAATTGAAAAACATTACAAAAACGTAAATTCAAAAAAAAAAGAACGACAAAAATACGCCTCCTCAAAAAAAAAAAAAAAACAGAAATTACCATTTGCCATGTAATTTACAAATAAATAAAACACATGAAAACCCATTTTTCAAATATAAAAACAAATTAATGTGTATAAATTAAAAAATGAAAAAAACGTATATTAAAAAAAATAATAATGAGGACAATACGCCTCATTAAAAAATATGTAAAAAAAAAACATAAAAACATAAATTATCATTCGCGACATAATTTAAAAATAAATAAAACACATGAAAACTCATTTTGGGAAATAAAAAAAAAAAAGTTATTGTATACGAATGAAAATAACAAAGAGAAAAAACATAAATTAAAGAACAAGAACTAATTAATGTATAAAAAAAGAAAAATGACAAAAAAAAAAGTTTAAAAAAAAAAAAAACATCAAAAAAACGCCAAATCCAAACCCAACAGGAAAAAAAGAAGAAAAAAAAGAAGAAAAAAAAACAACAATCCTCATGTCCAATTACGCAGCTGACGTGGAGGACCATCAATTTATTTCGGCGTTGACATATAGAGCACATGTGAAGGGTAGTTTGGTAATTTATCATGAAGACATCTCACCAAAAAGTTAAAAAAATCAAAAAGTCCTTCTCAAATCAAGTTTTTTAGCTCTAGGTTAAAATAGTCAAAAAAATCAAAAAATCAACCCCCTTCCCAAACGGAGGCTAAATTAATTTTTTTCTCTTTATATTTTGTCTTTTACTTTTTTTTTTATTTATATTTTTTAATTTATATAGTGTCAGCTCATTAAAATTACTTTTAAAGCAGTTCTAGTGGAGTTCTCCGTCAAAAGTACATTATGATTGGTGGTCATTAGTAGTATTGTCGTATCATGATAACGTGGGGATTGGAATTGAGATGGAGGTGAGACTTATTAATGTTGCGTTTGTTTTGGTATATGAAGAAAGGATTCATAATCCCCTTCAGATTAGGATGAATCTTAAAGAGAGGATTAAGATGGAGGCTTGAGTCTAGATGGGACGTCCGGTCGATCAACTGCAAATTTTTTTTTTTACATGTTGGATATTTTTTTTAACATTAATGTTTAATTTTTTTTATATTTTTTGTCAGGTAAAAATCATAATTTTATTTGTTTTATTTTATTTTATTTTATTTTATTTTTTACATATTGGACATTTTTTTTGTACATTAATGCTTAATGTTTTTGTAATTTTTATTTGTTTTATTATTTTATATAAAAATAATTTAACAATCCCTACACCAACAACTATCATCAAAACAAATATAATTTATTTAATCCCCTCATTAACAATCCTCTTACTATTAATCCTTTCATTACGAATTCCCTCCATTCTACCTAACTATTTATTATCTTACACTACGAATCCTCTCACTACAAATACAACTATTTATTATTAAAATATTGAATCACCAAATAACCACTCCAAGAATTGGTCCTAATATATTCCGTTTGTGTTTGGAGCTGTGCCTTATACCCCCAGTGGGGGTCGCACCCCCAGTGAGGTGGCGCGCCCCCACTGGCTGCCAACAGAAGAAAAAAAAAAAAAAAAAAGAAAAAAGAAAAAACAAACTGTTTTTTTTTTCGCCTAATCATGGGCCTCCACCTCACTGGGGGTCGACCCCCAGTGGGGGTACAAATCATTTTTCTTGTGTTTGTTATATCAATTCTTTTTTTAATAAAGTTAAAAAATTTTAAATTAATGCAAATAATGTAAACACAAAAGGATAAATAAAGCAAAAAATATATATTTTAATGTAAAGAAGGTAGATGACAACATCATTTAACGTCTATATAATTAATCATTTATTGATAAAAAAAGTGTTGTGTGGATAAAAAAAAAACTTCAGGAAACCTAATATAATTATGCTAAAAATATGGGCATGTTATATTTCTTTTTTTCAAATTTCAAGAGTGCTTAGTATAATTTATCTTAATTAATTTTATTTTTAGTATTTTTTCCAATACAAGTAAAACATGCATCATATAGGTATGATTTTTATTTCC